CCTGCAATGACAGTTGAGAAGGTTCCTATTCAAATGCCTGTGATGTTTTTGAGTGTTTTAATTGAGATATTTTATTTTTCCTTTTTGTTGTACATGTGGTAATGTTTTCTATTGAAACCCTTCTGAATATTAAATTAATTCTGAAATGTTCGCAGAGCAAGGACATGAAAAGGAGAGAAATTGGAAATTACTTGTTTTGCAGCCCACTATCAATTGTTCACAGTGGGTCATTTCCTGATTACACTGGGTAATTTAGTTGAGATGCTAAGTGAATGTCACTTTCCCTCTGAGTGGAGAGAAACTAATTTGTTGCTGCTTTTGTGGTAATCTTTATTTTCCCAACTGTCATTTAGATTGTGCAAAAGGGAATTAGAGAAAAGTACAAAGTACTGTAGAGGGTCACAAGGTCAAATATTGAATCAAAATCTCACTCAAATAAAAAAAGGTTCCATTTGAGAATTTGTTGTGCTTTGAATTTTTCCCAAATGTCTTTCACATGGTGCCTTCTTAGAGCCAATCAGCATGCTCGGTCATTCTGAAGTTGCATAGTAATGGCGTGTACTTGCATTAGCATCATTTTTCACTCCTTGCTATGCTTCTAATTTACATTCACGCATACATACAGCTGTTTTTCTATGTTTCACCTTTGTTAGAGCAAATTAGAAAAACACATATTCATTAATCATGTGTATTGAGTAATGTAAAAAAAATCGGCTCGACGTGATCAGCTTGGTGAAGATTTAGAGAAAAGGGAAATTAAAGCTGTTTTACAGAATTGTTCATACTGTGTTTGGCAGCGCGAGCCCCATCAGTCCCATATATTGTGTGAAAGTGCTCCTCTCACAAGTTACTACCAATGGAATCTAAAATTGGCAGTGAATAGCTTTCCCAAAGTAGCTTTCCTCCATTTGAATTCAATATGCTAGCAATATTTGAAAAGCTACACTCAAAGTAAATGCTATGAAAGTAAAAAGAAAGTCAATTATTTTCTTTTACTGGTATAAATAAGACTGGTTTGTTGTGTGCAGTACAAACCCAGCCACAGTGCTTTAAGGAAACCTTTTTTCCCACTGAGGCAACCTCTTAATCAATACACAATCTGTCCTGGTAAACTACTCATTCCTTTAGAAATGAACAGAATGCTAACACACCTTGTGCTTTTTCTTCTCCGCAGCACCTCCAAGCGTCCGCATTATACACTCGGGGCACGCCTGTAATGTGGAGGAGGAGCGGCACACGGAGAGAGTGTACACCATCCGAGAGGGAGAGACCCTGGAGCTCACCTGCCTGGTGACGGGCCATCCTCGACCACAGGTAAAGAACTCGTCCGCCCTTAGCTGTCATCATCACCCAACCAAAATAGCCCCACATGAATCATGGGACACCGTTGCTAATTTAGTCTCTCCTTCCTGTCTGTTTCTCCTTTCCTCACTCTCCTTCCAGCTTGCTTTTTAATTCTGCATTAGCGCCAATGAGCGGCACACCACGTTCCTCTGCACTAAACCAGCTTAAAAGTTTAATCCTTTAATTATTGATGGTTTAGGTTGCATTGTGCACCTGCGTGTTGATAATGAGAGCTTCCGGAGCTAATGAGAACGTGAAAAACAAAACAGGCGAAACATCTGCCAAAACAGGCCACAGTGTAACGAGCGCGGGTCATGTGAATGCACGAGGGTGCCCTGCAGCAGAGAGGGAGTTCTTCTCAAACTCTTTTTATTTACCGTTGTGATCTGAACCAATTCAAAAGTCTTCCAGCTTTTTCTGAAGGAAATAGGCCGTTCTGGTTTTGCCTTTTACTTACTGCTCTTTCATCCAAATCTATAAAAAGACAAATTAAAAACAACACAGATTTCATCTACTTGTTTAGAAAATACCGACTAACTTGATCCACGCAGGTATAAATGTCAGCTCTGCCACAAACGACCTGCCCATCACATTTTCTCCTCACATCACTCCGGGCATGATTTGCACACACTAACCTTTCGAACATTTAACGAATGTTGTTTCCAATTTGCCGGTGAACTGAAAGTTTACGTGGGAGTTCAGCTCCTTCTCGGGACAGACAGCGTTGAACTTCTTTACATTCATTAAGATAATTCCCCTGTTGATCGATAGGCAGGGGGATTCATTTGTACACTTCCCCTCTGGACGCAGAAGCAATAGAGCACATCGATTTTTATATTCACAATTGAAAAGGTGAGGCCTCTTAAATTAGCAAATGAGGTTCCGACATCATCTCCTCTTCTCGTCGAGGGAGGGGGGGGGGGCAACTTCACACTCATCATTGCAGTCTTTCCTCTTAATTTGAATTTGTGAAAAACAGAGCAGAGCGAGGAAGGGGGGAGAGGAGAGGAGTGGGAGATCAAAAGCCCTGCGAGGCTGTGGCAGGAGAGCAGGATCTCCTTTGAAACCTAGTCATTATGAGACTCATGCAGATCCCCTGGCACAGAGGGTCTCTGCTGTGTCTCCCCCAACTCTGGGATGTGTCATCTGTCCCCCCTCTGGTTGTGCCATGGGACCGCGGGGGCGGCGGGGGGGGGGGAGGAGAGGAAATGCACATTCCGTCTGAGTGCATTCGGGAGTAGACGAGGTTACCTGGGGTGGCAGAAGACCCACGGCTGGGTATGTGATGTTGGTATGCGACCTCTTCGGAAACACACTCGCACGTTGATACGGCAATAGCGACTCATCTTTTAAATCAGAGTTAAATATTAATCCGCAGAACATGTTCCCAGTCTTTCTTTGCCCCAAAGTTCCACATTTTAATTGACTTTAGTTTCTTCATCTTTCAAGAAGTGTGGGGAAAAAAGTAATCAGTGCTCTTTATAAAGGTTGCAGAGCTAGCTTGGGGTCCCCAAGTGTGTCCCCTTGTGATTAAAGCTATGGGCACAGGTTCGGTTTTAACCTTTGGTGGGGACATTTCTCTCCAACAGTGTGAAAAGTTTAGTGTGAGTGTCCAAACTTACTTACTTCTTCTTGTTTGTAATATACTGCTTTGTACTTGTTCTCGCCATCTGTTCGCTTGCTAACTAATTATTAGGCAAATTATGCATTCAATTGTTGTTGATATTGACGGAATTAACAATACAATAAGAACTTCTGATACTCTTGGAAAAATAGCAGTGGGATATGGTTAGGGTTATATGCATCTTTGGTATGTATTTATATCTAATCTTAAGGCGAGACACTACAGGTGAATAGGGTACTTTTTTAACTTAAAGATATCAGCTAGAAATGTCTCCAGTTAATTACTTACAGTAAGACAATTGTTTTTGTATTACAAGTTTTCTGAAATAGCACGTTTAAATATGAAAGTTAGCTGCTTCCTGTAAGGTTAGTCTTCCACCTTTTGCTTTTGGCATTTAAATCAATGTTAAAATAAAATGCTTTAACAGTGAATATAAAAAAGCCTACTAACACCTTACACTCAAACTTAAAATCAATTGGCTCTTAATTCACCCCCCGTATATATTAAGTTTGAGTTTAACTTTAAATACCAACCTCTTCAAATGTACAGCTGCTCATTTATTTCCCTGGCATTACTGCTAATGCTCTGCTGCAGCAAGCTGTCAATGCTTAGTGTAGCTTGAGGGGAGTTGGATCAACACATCAAGTCGCCCCTATATCTTACTCTTTAACTTTTATTAGAATAGGCTACTTATTGCATTAAACTCCAGACGACTTGGTACAGACCTTACCTGCACCACCAAGTGTAATTCCTTTGATAAACTCATATAAGATCATTAGAACATATTGGTTTGGACAATTCATTAGCACCTTCCCATTGTCATGGACACACAAATCGCTGAGCTGTCATCTGGAATACTTATAGAGAAGTTACCAGTTAGAGCTACATTAAATAAAAATATATTTTACACATACATTTAGTCGCTCTCTTTTTTTGCTTAGTATAGTGTGTCAACGTTTCGCTCTGACGCAAAGTTTAAAATACATTGCTTCCTGTGCAGCTATAATCGGGGTTGAGTACAGAAAACGCCATCCGTGATGAAAAGTAAAAGATTCCGGGCTTTTCTGAACACATTCAGAGCTTAAGCACTGTAAGCTCGCCCCTGGAGCCGCTTATGATCTACACCTAAGCTTAATGGGAAAGCAGTTTCTCCCTTCCGTGGAATCATTCTCAATTTCGTTTTTCTCCAACAACTTCTATACAAGCCATAACTTTAACTACACTCTCCATCTGCACAATGATATCACAGGGGGCCAAGTCACACTACTCGATCACTGTAAATGCCATCGATTAGTTCTGCATTAGCAAATCACAAAATAGCGTTTTTCATCATTACTGTCCAAATTCCCCTCTCCCTCCACGGCTTTGAAATACTACCAGCTCCCATGATAATACACAAAGTGAGGGGTGTTATGCCAAGTTCAACATCAGCACCTCGAATGACCAACCACATGGCAAATGAGGCCACGGTCGGCAATTTTTGTCACCGTTTAATTCTCCTCATGCCTATCAATATGCACACTTTTTAAATTACACGGACGCCCCTCAGGCCCTCCCGCTGATGGAGTCTCTGGATTGTGTCCAACCAGGCAGCAGCTCACACAGAGTGGGCCTCTCTGACATCCACCCACTCATCTCGGAGAAAAAGAAAAAAAAGAAAGGGAGGCTTTCTAATAATAAAATCATACGTGCATCCAACCTCACACAGACACACAGGCACACTCAACACTTGTCTGCCTTCCTATTTAATTGTCAAATAAATGTATGTTCCTGTCAGTCACCAGCACACCGTATAATATGTGCTTTTTTCCACTGTGCCTCTTGGGTTTGGCATTTCAAGTCGTTGCTGAAGGCTGTGGAGGAAGGCTGGGACTGCTGGCATGTGGCAGGCTCGGAGGGGGGGGAAGTTCAATCGAGGTGCAAAGGGCAAAGGGCACTGGAAGGATTTGAGGAAGTTGCCTCTCTGAGAATGATGAGAGAGAATATCTTGAATGGCTTTTCTCCTCACTCCCTAATTATTATTATTTTTTATTTAGTCACTCTAGTGACGCTCTGAGGCACAGAGGTGATTTGAGCAAGTGAGAAGTCCGGTAATTTTCTCATTGACTTCTATGCAATCAGACTTCATTTTGTAACCTGGTAAATGTTGTCGATGTCAGCATTGTCACAGAGGTGATTTGAGCAAATATGCCTGCAGTGACCATGCTGACATTCACGATGTTTACCAGGTACCTCTATAGGACCTATAGAGGTACTTCTACTATCTGTAGAAGGCTATGAGAAAATGACCGGACTTCTCACTTGATTTATGCCCTCAATAAACATTTTCCTGATGAGTTTAAGGTTTCAATTTATAGTAGTGCATCTTTTCAATACAGCATAATGTTCAATAATTAGATCCAATGGTCCCATTTACTCTAAAATCGAAAGCAAGGCGTGCTTAAGGGCTGAACTACCTTGGAAGTTACAGGTCGGTACCACAGGGTGTTGTCCAGTTTAAAAGACCTCAGTTTGTTGGTCTTACAGCTTTACCTTCAGTGTGTTTTCAGTTCATTCAAGTTAAATACAACTTTTTGGTCTCCTTAAAATGTTTGATTGTGCTTAACGCCACCCTCTTAAGTCACAAAATGCCATCAAGTCATCGAAAGCGTCATGGTGGTTTACATCATGGTGACTGTCCACTTCTTATATGCAGTTTATGGATAAATATATAAAAGACTAACAGATCCATTCTCTCTCTGTCTCTCTCTCCATCTCCATTCAGTGCCGACAATTTTATTAGATGAATCAATTGGTGGAACATGAAGTTAATCTACTAAGAATTTTAACAACTGAGTCATTTATCAACCAATGTTCAATATTATAACTGTGTAACAGCTTATCAAATGTGAAAAACAACTTTTTCTCTGCTCTATATCAATGAAAATTGAAAAATGAATGCAACTTGAAGATGTCACCTGAGGCTTCTGGAAACTTGAGGAGCATTTTTCACTTGTTGCGACATTTTATGGATGAAAGGATCAAACATTTAATCAGAAAATTCATGAATACATAATGCTGAAAATAGATATTAGTTTCAGCCCTGCTGCTATTTAATAAACAGATACAAATAAAAGCCTTTGTCTCCCTTTTATCTTTATCTCTGTATCAGCACCACAAACATACAGATTTATCTGTTCATACTTTCACGGTCACCGTCCTCCAGCTCGGTTCATTGTCTTTGATGCCGTGAACAGACATCAAAGGGTCCCTGATGATGAAGCCATCTGCCCCCGTCTCCCCTGCCCTGGCCTCCATCCATTATGTCCACACTGCTTTGTTTGAGTACCAAGCTCCCAACAGCCAGCTACACCACATTGCAAACACCTTTTTTTTTTGTTTCAATTATTGGCTGGCCAGATTCAACTCGCAGCGCAACGGGTCAGCGAGTACAAATAACCTGACCTCGGGTCCAGGGACATTTCACTTTATACAGACCAATTGGAGTATGTGATCTGTTTTGGATGCTCTCATGACAGTCCGCCTACAGTACTGGTGTCTTCAGCAGATGGGGCTTTTTTCAATATGATTTAACTTTCAATGTCTGCACTTACAAACGACAATATCAGAAGGGGCTCTGTTTCAGATCTTCCCATTGAACTAGACCCTGTCAACACACCCGCGGTCATTATTATTTATTTTTTCAAAGTCAACTTTATTGTCAATCTTTCAGTTTGTGTGTACAGACAGAGAGATTGAAATATTGTTTCCCACAATCTCAAATACAAGAATACAAATATATATAAAAAAACGTATACAAATATGTATATACCTATATATACACAATCAACAGACATTTCTACTCAATGATCTACAAACTGCAGCACTCAAACATATCGGATGTAGCTCAAAGCCAATGAAAATACAAGCGAGCCACCATTTTTTTTATTTGTCAAGGGTGTTTTGCCTAAGAGATCCTGATTTCTGTTTTTATCTCTCTTCATTTTCAATATCAAACACTTCACTGAGTCATCTGGTCATCAAATAGGGCCAGTATTTTTCTAATATAGACCTGTGATTCGGACCCCCTGAAGCTTCTCCTGATCGCTTGATTGTCATGCTCAACCACACTTGGCTGCACCAGCGAGCGTCACAGACCGCCTTCGGTGCTGGAAAAGAAAAAAGATGGCAAGCAATTAGAAGCCAGTCTGTTGTTAGGGAGAGGGAAACGTCACAGCAGGCATTATGGGAGATTCACTGAAGACGCGTGCTCTGGCATATGATCCCTGCATAACAACAGACACTGGGCGCATTTTAATTAGCTCTCGCCGTAACATCGCAGCATGTGTGGTCGCAAACACTGCTGGGATTTTCAGTTGGATACTAATCTACTGTAGATGAGCTTTTTTTTACTTTTCTTGTAAGCAAACCTTGATCTTTCTATTGGGATGTCATATTGTTGTATCGACTCTGCTTATCCCTGTGGAACTAAGTGCTGTCATGTATTTAATTAAAATAAATATGCAAAAATGTCCACAACTTTTCTAAACCTTGCTGCGTATTACAGCATTTAAATGTCATGGTAATAATATATGCACCAGATTGCAAGGGAAAGACACGAATAATCAACTTCTACCATAAAACAGGAGATGGGTGGTACATCCAGTTTAGTTTGACTAATTCCCCAGTGAGCACCTCCAGAGATTCAGCTGAGAAGTGACAAAAGTGCAGCAAAAATAGCTTTAAAAAAAACTCCACCTGGCTGCCAGTGGGTTAGGAGCGCCAATTATCATATTGCTCAAATCCGCCTGCTCCTCTCAGATCAAGAGTATTTGCATTGCACCGAGGAGAGTGAAGAGGGTCAAACTGTTCTCACCAGGCACACTTCAGGACTCCCCCTGTGGGCAGAGGTGCTCAGATGTGAGGAGTCAAAGTAGTGGAGGAATGAAAATAGCTCCAGGGTACGGGGAGAGTTGAAAGCTCACCGATAATGTGGTCTGCCGCTGAAACAAACAGCCGCACTTCCCTCTTGAAGATATGAAGAGTTTATTTGAACACCCACTCCTTAGTGTCACTGCGCCAATGCACTTATTGATACTGCGCTTTCCTAAAACTCAAAGCTCTTTGTACAAAAGGCAAAGGAAATCACTGGGGGTATAAGCTGGTAGAATCTTGAATCCTGCTGAGGTCGCCATACGCTAGCTTGCTTTGTATTTGCATTAAGGGGAAACCGGGGCGCTGTTGGAGAGTGACACAGAATTCCCAAACTTCCTCTAATTTATAACCATAACTTATTTCACTTTGGGGCTGCTTTTGCTGAACTCATGATGTCCCTAACTGTTATAATTGGTCTATTTTCTAACAGCAGCAACGATCAATTGCTGAGTTCGGGCTTTTTTTCATGAAGTGCTTTCTTTCAATGTCTCTTGGTGCATTTCTAGAAGGCCAAGTGGAGCAGTTTCAGCGCAGTGTATTAATTTAAAGGCATTTATTTCCAATGGTTATATATCCACTTAAAGGCTATATAAATGGATGGTACATAACCTCCATCTGGCTACAGAATTGTATTTTCAGTGAAAGAGGTCGGAGAAGAAATCCAGCACGCACATTCTTTGTATTTCAAGGAAGCTAATTTATTTCTCACTCTCCGAACGGTAGCACCCCAAGCAAGACTACGAATCTGAAACTCCTCTGATAAACTTCTGCTGCATGTGAATCCCTCTCCCTGTCATCCACTAGCCCTGGGCTACCAAAAAGAAAGAGGAAAAGGGCACTATCAGGTTTTGGACAACCAAGCTTTCATTGCCTTTCTCCCGTCTGATTGGAAAATGACCAAACTTCTAAAGTGTGGTAACCCCGGGCTGGAGTCGTCATGGTTAAAACCCCCCAGCTAGAGCAGCATATCTCCCCAGATAGCACCCAATCGTCATCCCTCCATGCTGTGATATCCCTGTTCTATCTGATGCTATCTCTCTAAAATGGTATGGTATCAGTATCAGAGATGATGCTATCACCGTACAGTGTGGAGATATTGGATTCTAATTCATAGCCTCCTCCGGCTTAGACAGAGATATGTGAGGCAGGCTGTGCGAGTAAAGCCAGTCCATCTGCGGCTTACTTAGGGAAAGGGATTGAACGGTGCTTTATGCTCCGTAGCTGCCTATGCTGCCCCCAGGCCAGAGCAGTCACAGTACCTGTTCATGCTGTATGCCTTAATGAGGACAGGAGAGGCAGATGATGGAGAGTCAATTATAACCTCATGTTGGAGAGTAACACTATTTCACCTTTCATTACACCTCAATGCCATGGGCTAACTGGGTCTCATCAGTTAGTGAAAGGTACTCATGCTAGAAGGCCACGCTTGTGTCAGTCTTGTGTGGAACGAAGGAAAAAGGGAAGTTAGAGGAAGATTTTTCGACTCTAAAGTCCTCTGTACTGCGGCATTTCACAAAATAGCTCTAAAACAGGGTGTTCTCCATCAGTAGCTTAAGCACCCAATCTAATACAAAATACAGACAATATAGCAAACATGCATAAAATAATATAATTTGTATCTTCTGCAAATTCTCAAATAGTGCCTCTATTTATCTCAACTACACAGAGAACCCAATCATTATTTAAAAAAGGCTCATATTATAAGACAGGACTTTGATTGTAATTTTCGGATCTGCTTCCATTTCAAAGGAATGATAAAAATCTTGCTGAGAGTTTCGTGTGATGATTGATATACATCTGTTGGATAAATATACACACTGCAACCGGTTAGCTTAGCATAACAACTGGAAGCAGGGCTAGCCTGGCTCTGTCCAAAGCTAAGACAATCTACCTCAAGCTAACTTCTAAACATGTTATATCTCATTTATTTTATTCATTGAAAAAATGTTTGGAAGACAACACCTTTTGTTTGAATGGAAGATCACGTGGCTAAGTATTCCTTGACAAAGGAGTCATAGATGTTGATGTTGTTGGCTGATAATGCAAACTTAACACTGTTGTTTCCGTTTTGAGAACACAAGTCTCATGATATACAATTTATTTCCAGTCACTTCCTGTCTTTGTTTTACAAATCTCTGTGAGTAAAGCCAAAGACATTTGCTAAGACATTTCACATTAAAGGCCATTCAGTTGCTCAAAGGGCATACTCCAACCTTTTAATTTGAGAAAAAAAGAATATATAAAACTATAAAAATATAAACACAAAGCTTCAGACTGGTATAATAATGATATTATAGCCCTGGAATAGAGAGCTATTTGATTGATGGTTATTCCAAGCCTTCAATGTTTTTATGACTTGTATGAGTATTTGAATACTTGCTATCATTTGAAGAGTTTGTAGTATTATATTATTCACACTGTATATTTCCTTTCTAACTGAAGCTGGACGCCTCACTCTAAATCTGAATCTATACTCATGTCTACTCTTTGTTCCTCGCAGATCCGATGGACAAAGACAGCGGGCAGTGTGTCGGACCGTTTCCATGACTCCAGTGTGTTCAACCAGACGCTCAACATTGCAAAGATCCTGAGGACCCAGGGGGGGCGCTACTACTGCAAGGCTGAGAACGGCCTTGGATCCCCCGCCATCAAGTCCATCAGGGTGGACGTCTACTGTAAGTGCCATGTTACCATGAAAATTCACCCTCTGTTATTATGTTTCTTTCTTGGGTTACAAGGAGGCTGACTGAGAACAGTACATTTTTCTAAAGGTGTGATTGCAGTTTGTATCTTTGTTATTGTGCGAAGGACTCGCCTACGTGTCTATTTCCTTTCTAAGTCTTTGCTAGGACACATTTCAGAAAGCTGTGACCCTGAGAAAGATGTATATTCACACTTCTGAATATGCAACAAAGTCTCTTAGCGCTACAGTAAAAAACACTAGTGCCGCTTCCACCAGAGATACCTTTTAAATTGTAAGAGGCGAATATGCTTTAGAATAAAGTACTTAAAATAAATATTATGTGAAATGAAACAAGTCCTGCAACAACCCAAATATTTTTTAAAGTCTTCAAATAAAATCCACCTATAAACAGAGACATCTGCAGCACAGACATTTAGTGCTGATCAGTGAGAAACATATAAAAAAAACGTACAGCCCGATTTAGCAGCGTTCCATATTTATGCTTTGAAATAAAATGTAGTTATTCAGAGGTAGGGCATCCAAAGAGACCCCTGCGCTCTCCTGAGAATGTTAATTAAGCTAAAACGCTTTTATTATCCCATCGACTGCAAGTGCCACCTCTCTATTTTTAAAGTTTCAGTTCGACGAACGGTGAAGGCTCATTAGCATTCATCAAAGAAAAACAGTGATTTAGTGTTATTGTTTTTATTGATCGGGCATTGATTGTCCTATTTCACCTCGTATGTGGGTGGAAGAGTGCCGAGACGGGGGAGCCGCTGCCCTTTCATCGCAGTCGCATCGGATACACTTCCAACCACCAAGAGTTTGTATCCATGAGTAATATGTGGCTGTGTTCTTATCATTTATATCAAGGAAAAATCTTTCTGACCTTCATTCATCTTCAAAACATGCTGCGAATTCGAAAAAAAATCTAGTTGTTGCGCTTTTGAATGCCTCCTTAAATGTTCACTAGTGTTAGACTTCTTTCTGTCACGCTCCTAAGTTCATGTCACGGTTGTAGTTTTGTAGGTTTGGGTGTTTTTGCTGTTTTCCATGTCATGTTTTCCTCTGGGTTATTGGGTTACCCTTCTGTGTATTTAGTCTTGTCTCCTCCTGTGTTCAGTGTTGGTGCTTCTTTTGTGTGTGACTTATTAGTTCACCGGAGAGTGTTTTGTCTGTTCCAAGTTTATGTTAGACCTTGAAATAAAGGTTATATCAAGTGTTATCTGCGTTTGGGTCCTACCTGCTTCACTCACCGTATCAGAAAGCACCAACCAAGAAATGGGCCCAGCAGATCCGTTCGAGCTGGAAGTATTGAACTTTTCCTTTTTTTTGGCTAACTGCTCGGATCGATGGAAGAGAGCACCCGGAGTTCAGCAGCGAGAGGCTGTGTTGTCGGAGGCGCGCCAGATGGCTAGAGAGAAACCAGGTTTGGTGAAGTTTTTACCTGGCTGGATTTCAAAGATCCTCCCGGTGTGTGATTGCCGGCCTGCTAGCCCCAGGCATGCTAGCTCCCTGTCTCCCAATTCCCAACCTGGTACCATACGCCTCGGTGGGCTCCGTCTGAAGTCAACCCATGCTTCTGCCCCAGTTCCTGCTCCTGTCCAGGAGTCGTATTCCGGAACTCGTTGGGCTTATGGAGGTCCACGGAGTATTCAGAGGCTAGCAGCCCGAGCCCCAGCAGCCATGGTTCCGGCTACAGAACCGGCCCACACCTCCATGGTTCCAGCCCCAGTTCTGGCCCCAGCAACCATGGTTCCAGCCCTGGTTCCGGCCCCAGCAGCCATGGTTCGGGCTCCAGTACAGGCCCCAGCAGCCATGGATCCGGTTACTGAACCGGTCCCAGAAACCATGGTCCCGACTCCAGTTTCGGCTATAGGACTGGCTGTCCGTCCGACGCCAGCTCCCCGTGTCCTGTCGGCATACCGGCCGACTCCAGCACCTCGTCCTCCTGTTGGCTGTCCCCGGGTTCTGTTGGCG